CAAAAAAAAAAAAAAAAAAAAAAAAAAAAAACCCAAATTTTCGAAACTCTGCACTTAACTACGTAAGCCTTTTTAAAGATGCCTGAAAATAAGGATCAACTCGATACAGAGCCAAAGCAAGCATCCGAAGCTAAAAAGCGAGATAGCTCTAGGTCAAAAGGGGATAAAGAATTCAGAAAATTTATTTTCGAAACCAATAGATTGGAAGTTTTCTGTTCTAAATGGTCGTCCTCCATACTTTCGGATCAAACTGAATCCCTTATCAAAATTAAATTGTCTCAGCTCGATCAAAATTGGGAAATGGTATACGAAACATACCAATCTGTGAGCATCTCTGGTTCCTACACAAATATAAGTGAAGCGGTAGAGCAGAAATACGACAAATGTATGCAAAGCTACCAAAATTCCAAAGCGGAGATGACAGATGCATTAGAAGTCTTAAGACCCCAACCTCCCAGCTCAAAACCGCCAAACCCAATCCCCTCAGAAAATAAAGCAGAGTCGTCGGGCGTTTACCTGCAAGTACCGCCATGTGACACCCAAGATTTTTATGGTGGATACGAAGAGTGGCCAGGCTTCAGAGACATGTTCACAGCTGTGTACATAAAACACCCCAAACTCACCCCGGCACAAAAACTGTTCTATTTAAGGCACAAAACAAAGGGTCAAGCAGGAACAATAGTGAGGCAATATCCGCTCTGCGACGAAAGCTTCGATCTCGCATGGGAAGCCCTAAGATCGCGATACGAGAACCGTAGAATTTTGGTTGACAACCAACTCAAGACACTCTTCAATCTTCAGCCAGTTCATGGTGAAAATAGCGCCTCTCTACAAAAACTGCAAAACACCATCAACAATTGTCTCTCCACATTAAAAGCTCAAAATGTTTCCGTATCGAATTGGGACCCAATCTTAGTGCATATATGCACCTCAAAACTCCCAGAAGAAACTTTAGCTCTTTGGGAGCAATCTCTATCATCGAGAAAAGATCTTCCACTCTGGTCTGAAATGAACTCATTCCTCACCACTCGATACGAAGTCTTAGAGAGGTTAAGTGCTCATAGGCCAGCAAAATCGAAGATAAGCCAAAACCCAAATCAAAATTCCACTTATAAGCCAAGTTTTCAAAGTTTTCAGCCAAGTTTAAACTCAACCAAGTCTCAAACCCTCAACTCAAACCAAAACTCTACAAAAACACGCGTATACCACAATGAGCAAAGATTTTTTAATTCCTGCAAGTTGTGTAAAGCGGTCCCAGCGCACCCACTTAAAATATGTTCCAAATTCAGAACAATAACAGTTCAAGAACGGTTGACCTTCATCAAAGAGAACAACTACTGTAAAAACTGTCTGGATTTTTCTCACAATTCAAGGGAATGTAGAAGCAGCTTCAGTTGTGTTTACTGCCAAAGACGACATCACTCAATGTTACATATAAATAACTCTCAAACACAAAGCTCCAACTCGAATCCGAACTCCAGCGCAAACTCCAAATCCCAAAGGTCGGCAGTTCACACAACAACAGCTAGGTCTACAAATCCATCCCCGCATCCCCAATCACTACTAATGCAAAATGTTGAGCACACTCAGGAAGAGCAAGAATTCGTTCAAGCTCACCACTCCAGTAGTAAGGAAAAAACTTTACTCCCAACTGCTATTGTGCCCATTTTACATTTAGGAGAGATTTATAGATTGAGAGCTCTAATTGACCCTGGCTCAGAGAAAACCTTCACCTCCTCAAGAGCGAAAAATCTATTAAAACTTCCTACACAAAGAGCACACTATGAGATATCTGGCATGGGGGGAAAAGTCGTGCAAAACTCACATCAGACTTGTTTGATAAGGATATGTTCAACGGACGCACAAATCACAATGGAAACAAATGCTATAGTTTTGCCCCAGCTCACTCAGTTTCTTCCGGCATTCAGATTGAAGAGCATAGATCTCACCCAGTTCGCTTCCTTAGATCTCGCCGATCCCACCTGTTTTACTCCAGGCAAAATAGATCTGGTGATTGGTAGCGATCTTACACCGAAAATATTTGTACCAGGCTTACAAAATGTGAGTGGAGGATTGTTAGCACAAAACACCATTTTTGGATGGATTTTGAGCGGCCCAGTCCAAGCCCAAGTCACATCATTTTCGACACGAGTCGAAGAAAGCAAGGAAGACTGCCTCGGCGATCGTTTAAAGAAGTTCTGGGAACAGGAAGACATCTCGGACCCGCCTCAACTCTCGGAAGAAGATGAAATATGTGAGAAATTATATAGTAACACCACAATCAGGAGAGCAGATGGCCGATATGAAGTTCGGCTGCCATTTAAAACGCAATTTCCCGAATCCATTGCCCTAGGACATTCCCGATACTCAAGTTTATGCCAATTTCTTAGTATGGAGCGCAATCTGTCTAAAAAAGAGAACATCAGGGACACATATTCTGAAGTGCTTGAAGAGTACATAACCCTAAATCACATGGAGACAACTACTTCTCATGAAATCATTGAAGGTGGAAAATATTACTCATTTTATCTCCCACATCATGCCGTTTTGCGACCCGAAAGTAAAACCACTAAAGTACGGGTAGTCTTCAATGCCTCCAAAGCTACCAGCTCAGGAAACTCGCTCAATGACGTTCTCCACACCGGTCCCACTCTCCAAACTGACCTTACAATGTTGATTATCAACTGGAGACTATACAAATATGTATTTAACGGCGATATAGAGAAGATGTATCGACAGATATGGGTTAACGAAAAGGACAAAAACTTTCAACGAATCGTATTTAGAAAGGGCCCGGAAGATTATAAACTCAAAACAGTCACCTTTGGCGTAAACTGTGCCCCATTTTTAGCTATCAGAACACTTCACCAGCTAGCTGATGACTGTATTAAAATACCCATGTTGTACGAGAATCCTTAAAGAAGAAACATATGTTGATGATGTTTTTTCTGGAGGACATGACCTTGAAACAGCTCAAAACTCACTCACCCAATTCACTCAAGTTTTAGGTTCAGCTGGCTTCCCTCTCAAAAAAATCACGGCCAACAACTCAAAAACTATAGAAAATATACCCCAAAATAATCTTTTAGACTCGAATTTTTTAAAACTTGAAGACTCCAGTACAACAAAAACCCTCGGAATACAGTGGAACGCTGTATCGGACTCTTTTTCGTACACATTTAACCCTCTCGCAACTCCATACCCAGCCACAAAACGTCAGATCCTTTCTGCTGTTGCTAAACTTTTTGACCCGGCAGGATGGCTATCGCCTATAATGGTTAAAGCAAAAATCCTCTTGCAAGACCTTTGGAAAGAAGGTACCCATTGGGACGAGTGCGCAAAACCCACCTCGCTTCATGCTTGGCGTACGTTTGTCGAAAATCTGCAATCGGTAGGAAAAATCGAAATCCCACGATGGATAGGATACTCACCTAAACATAATGTCGAGCTCCATGGATTTTGTGACGCGTCTCAAGACGCATATTGTGCCTGTTTGTACCTTCGCTGCCACGACGGTATCAACGCAGCCACTTCTCAACTTCTCGTGGCAAAAAGCAAAGTAGCCCCAGTTCAAACTATCAGCTTACCACGGTTGGAACTCTGTGGAGCTGTCCTCGTCAGCAAACTCGCTCACCAAGTTCAGGAAAAACTCCATCTAAAGGATGTAAAACTATTTCTATGGTGCGATTCATCCATTGTTCTCGCATGGTTAGAGAAACCCCCTTATGTGTGGAAAACCTACGTCGCCAATCGCATAACCCAAATCGTAAAAAACGTAGGAAATGGTACGTGGCGACATGTAAACAGTGCTGACAATCCTGCAGATCTAGGAACTCGAGGATGCCCTCCTCAAGAGCTTGTCTCCAAAGCCATATGGTGGCATGGACCAGACTGGCTCATCGAAACTCCAAAGGCTTGGCCCCAATCCCAACCACAAAGGACTCTACCTCCAGAGCAAAGAAAAATAAAAGTTTTCCATTTTAGCAAGCCCGAAAATGTACTAGACCAATTTTCCTCGTTTGGAAAAGCCTTGCGCATCATAGCCTACGTGTTTCGCTTTATCCAAAAATCTCGAAAGATCTCCCAAAACAAGGATTCCTTAACCCACCCGGAAATCCAACACTCAAAAACCCAACTAATTATTGTTGCCCAAAAACGTCACTATTGCGATGAATATTTACAATTATCGGCCACTGAACCCCTCAACAAGAAAAGTAGTTTACTATCTCTAAACCCATTTATTGACAAAACAGGTCTAATGCGAGTAAATGGTAGGTTGGCGCATTCTGGTTTAAGCTACAATGAGCGTCATCCCATCATACTGCCCGGAAACTCCAGATTTTGTACACTTTATTTAAATTTTCTCCACACAACTCTCTTGCATGCGGAAAAGTCTCTTATGGTTCGTATGACTCAGCAAGAGTTCTTTGTCCCACGTTTGAAATCGTACATAAAAAAGTGTATAGTTCAATGTAAACTCTGCACTATTCATAGACAAAACGTTCGTTCTCAAATAATGGCAGCCCTTCCTCCCGAAAGAGTTACGTTGTCAGTACCATTCCACACTACCGGTGTAGATTTCGCAGGCCCTTTTTTGTTAAAAGCCGGTTTAATCCGTAACGCACCCTATCATAAAGCTTACACTTGTGTATTTGTTTGTTTTGCGACAAAAGCAATTCACTTGGAAGTCTGTTCAGACTTAACCACAAGTGCATTTTTTAGCAGCGTTCGCACGCTTCGTAGGGCGACGAGGAATGCCCGCGAAAGTTATGTCCGATAATGGCAAAACATTTATCGGAGCTCATCGCACATTACTCAAAGACTATGCAAATTTCCTTACCCAGGTGTCTGTCGAGACCTCTAAAAAATACGAAACTCATGGGTTTGAATGGCAGTTCATTCCTCCATACGCTCCCCATATGGGCGGCCTGTGGGAAGCTGCCGTTAAAAGTTTCAAAACCCACTTCATAAAAGTTGCTGGCACCCAAAAATTCACTTTCGAAGAATTTTCAACGCTTCTTATACGCATAGAGGCAGTTTTGAACTCAAGGCCATTATCACCCATGTCCGAAGATCCCACGGATCTCCTAGTGCTCACTCCGGGTCACTTTCTCCGAGGCGCACCCCTTATGGCTATCCCGGAGCCAACTGAAGAAACCCTATCCTTGGCCAATCGCTGGCAAAAATTAAAAATTCTCCATCAGGAATTCAGTAGACGATGGAAAGCGGAATATCTACGCGAGCTTCACAGACGTCATAAATGGCGACAACCCCAGAAGGATATTGAGGAAGGAGAGTTGGTAGTTGTCAAAGATGATCTCTTGCCACCACAGGAATGGTGCCTTGGAAGAGTACTCAAACTCCATCGAGGCCACGATAACCACATTAGAGTCGCTGAGGTCAGAACTCAAGCTGGGATTTATACCCGACCAATAGTCAAATTATGCCCTCTACCTCCTCCACTCACTCATAACTCTAATTGAATAACTCGTCTACCATATAGTCCAATCAGCTCAAATACTTATAACACTATTATTTTCTAATTACAGTCCATTAGCTCCAACTCTACCAACTCGTACTAATTCACTTGTTGATCTTTTACAGAACCCCGGATGTATATCAGTGTCAACTGTGCTGCCGTTTTCATGCTCTGCAAACCTGCGCTTGTTTTCGAGAGATGAGTGTGGCCGATCGCATAGAAGCTGTCCGCGTTCATAAATATTGCATGAACTGTTTGGCCCGATCCCACAAGACCGGTGCATGCCCATCTCGGAATAGCTGCAGAATATGTAAATTAGGACACCACACGCTTCTTCACCGCCCAACTGCCAATTCCACTGGGGAACGCAAACCTGCTCAACATGCTGTGGGACGCAGATCGAAACGCGAGACAGAACGCCGCTCTACGGCAATGAAGACATCGAAGTCGAAGTCACTTACGGCCCGCTTTAAACCGCGGAATTGTCCGTGTGGACGCCTTTTGTTATCAAGGAAACCCAATGCCGTTTCGCGTATCGACAGCTAGACAGCCTACTAAATGTTGCACCCGTGCAAGGGCGGCGGCATGTCGACGATGAAGGAGAGCGAGGTGGCAACCTCACTCTATTCGACTAGTTTCTAAAATTCCTCTAAACAAAAATCCTCCAGAAAGTTGTTTTTGTATAAACTCACTGAATTTATCTACTGAAGTATGAAATGAAATTGAAATGTAAAAAGCTACAATTAAAGATATAAGCGCGACCGTCGTACAGCACGGACGTGCCTTTGAGTCATTTTAAGTCTCAACTCGATTTAATTATAGAATTTCGTACATTTGTACCTCTTTATTT